TCTTCCGATCTCCCCAAAACCCCAAAACCCCACTTGATATAATAATTAAAGACTATTGAAAGAAATAAATAGGTTAGTAAAATAAAATAGATAAGTTAGGGAGTATAAAAATTTCAAGGTGGTTGATATATGAAATTCTATTCGCTTATTCTTTCATTTGTTTAGAGTCTTCATACGTTTGCTTGCTGATGATCTTGTCGTGGGAGGTTCATTAATTCTTTGCTGCTCATTTTTATGACTGGAGCAATTCGAATGGTCAGCATGAGTATTCTATTTTTCAGTTACTTCTCTTTGAATGTCTGGCATGAAGTCTCCATTATTGACTTGCTTTCTGGGACTCTTATTGCTATCTTCCTTTTTCTCGCAATTCGCGCAGCCAGAACATTTGCAAAAGTCTGTGCAAGAGACTCCCATTTGGAAGCACTCGCAATAGCCTTTGAGACATCCTGATTTCTTGCAAGTGCAGCCCTTTCTGTGCTAGATACTTTTGCCTTAATTATCTTTAGTGACTTTAATCTCAAATGCCTTAGGATCACGTTTCATAATCTCTTCTTTGGCTTTTTATATAATATCTGGTGAGTCATCATTGTTGCAGCAGTCTTTACATCCACAGTCTAATCCGCATACTTGTCCATTAGCAAAGCATTCGCAGTAAAGCTTCAAGCATTTAGACTTTGAACAAGTACACTTTTTGGTTGATTAAGTAGCACCAGATGTTGGGACTACCAAAAATGAATGAGCTGGAGCAACATTTTAAGATTTGGGTTTTATTTCCTTGGGACTAATCTATGAAGCACTTTAAACTTAGTTATTTTGGTTATTTGCTCTAGTTGCTTTAGCATGCTTTTGCTTAGCAATTGGTGATTGATTTTAAGCAATTATCTTGTCCATTAGAGAAATGCCCTTCTACTCAGACTTAATTATCCTCTTTTTCTAGTTTTCCGATTAAGGCTGACATTGCTTAATTAGCGACTATGGAGAGGACTTATCTTCAGCAGTTCTTTTTGCTCTTTTTTTAGTTATAGTTGTTTTGCACTTCGATAGTCTCAATAATCCACTACCCTGATTTAGATTATTGCTTTAGTGATTTCTTTATTGACTATATTGGTAGGTACTGGCAGTGGCATGTGATTGAATGTACTCTGGAGTGTCGACATAGTAGTAATTATATGATTATTTAGGTGCGGGAGAATTATATTAGAAATTCTGATAGCCAGCAGCATTAGGCATATCTTATTCCTGTCTGATGTTACTATGAGTAAAATCTTCGTGTTAATTTATTTGGTCTTATTTGTGGATGTTTGCCTGTTGAACGTATCTTTCGAACTGATAGGAATGAGACATTTCAGACTGATAATTAGGGTTATTTTAGATCAGACTTAGTCTGATTGAGCGAGTCTTTTGGTAATGAATGGGAGAAATCAATGATTAATCCTCTTCACTTACGATTTCGGAGTTCGTGGCTGTGCTCTCCTATTTCCTTGTGATCTGTCTGCCGTCATCCTAGTGAACTTAAGCGTGTTAAGGAATGCCAGTTACAGGAAAAGGCTTTATCTTTGGTGATTATTAATGCTACAAGTAGTAGTACTAATGAGAAGGATTTCTATTGAAACCAATAGATTCCATGTTCTAGTTGTTTTGGGAACTGATTGGAGTCTTTCTCACTGATTGCTTTTATTATTACATAGGAGACAGTAAAGTCTCATACATCAATGGACTACTCTATTCCTTGACCAATATATTCTAGGGAATAGAGAAGGCAGGGATGTTAGGGTTTTAGTTTTCATTATAACTAGGTCTAGATGAATCAATGAAATTAAGCAGTTTTCTACTTCTGAATGGATCCTACTAGATTGCTTTAAGTGAGTTATCTCTACTAAATGGCCCTTGATCGATTTCCATTTCATAACCTAGTTCTTGGTTGCGTCTTGGTGTCTACCTAAGAGTCATTGGGTACTTGTTTGGACTCTTTATCAGTTGCTGATTTAATGGAGTTTTGCGGGGGCTGCATCTTGACTGCTGATTGTAGGACATTTACAAGTCACTTTTGATCTCGCTCCATTGTCCATCTACTCTTAGCATATTCTCGTAATTGTACTGCATATTAGGTATGCTGTGCTACTTGGCTAAAAATGGTGATTATTCGTATTTATTGCTAAAAAACGGGCTCAATTGGCTATAAGGGTGGTTGCTCATAGGAATATTGTGCGAAATGAGATTTTAGATTTAGTAATATAGAAATTATATTTTAGCGTATTAATACTCTTAATATATCACAACAGTTTAGACATTTCTGATTAATTATTTAACACAACAGAAATAATTTATCAATTCAAATGTTCAGTTTGCTTTGAGGGGTTTTGGGGTTTTGGGG